ATAGGATTTACCTATCTTACAATTTTCTGGTTAAAAAGAGCTTTAATAATAAATGGATAGGATCTTTAGGGTCTAAATAACTTCTGCTCTAGTAAGCAACTGTTATAAGAAGCTGAAATTTCTCCGTAGAAAGTATTGCTTTTAGTAGCACTTAACAACTAAAGAAATAGAACTGAGCTAGCTGCAGGTTTTAATTATTTGGTTTTATTTGCCTGTTTCTTTGTACAATAAATTTCTGACTGGAATCTTCCTCCTAAAAGTCATTATCTCCTCTGAGATGTGAATAGAAAATCTCTGTATGACAAATACAGGATCATCCTTTTGAACATATAAGAAATCGTCAGTGGTGGCTCTTTTGTGGCTTTTTGTTAAAAAGTACACTTATTTTTCCTGGTAACCTAATACAAACACAAATATGCTTCTCATATTCACAGCCTTATGTACACACCTCCACGTTTTGATTTAGAAGATGCAATCTACATCATACCTGTACCACTGTGCCATGTATGAGGTTTTCAGTTTCAAGTGCAGGTCAAGTACAGCTGGTTTAGGAGAAGGTTGAAGTAATTTTCTTCCATTAATTTGCTACTGAGTTGTTTGCCAGGAAGAAGACTTGGACTTTTTTCTTCTATTGAACTTTTGAGAGGGTCCACTGATGTGCCAGGACTGTGTTTTGAGATGCACTTCCTCAAATGGAAGAGTTACTGCGGTGAGCTCAGGCTGAAAACATGCATAAATTGCTATATAAATTTGGAAATTAGAACCCAAAGAAAAATGCAGGACATGCCATACATATGAAAAGTTGACAATGGTTAGGTCATAATTTGAAGAAGTGTAAATGCAGTACCTATATTTAAAAAGTCTAGAAGGGCCAAGAATATAAATCTATGGTTTAACCTGCTGTTTTCTGAAATCAACCTCAGTCATTTTGCAAGGATTTGGTTGTCTGACCCGTGAACCCCCAGATGCAGTGAGGTGAAACCATGAGGTACTGGGGAATGTGACACAGCTGATGTCTGTCACCCGTAAGCAGGTGCACAGGTTGTACCAGACATATCTGAAAGGTTGCTATAGCTCCCTCAGATCTGCCTGTAAATCAAAGCTCGATACTAGTGAATGACTCAAAACAACAAATGGTAAACAAATTTGTGAGCAATGCTCTCATAGACCCTTGATCAGTGTTTAGCAAATACAAATCTATGTTTCCTGGCTCCTGTTTTCCTTTAAACAGACCTATCTTTGTTCCCTGCTTGGAGAAGCTGATTTTAACCCAGAGAAACGTTAGGAAGGCTCAGTTTCACCCTCAATTTCAAGAGTAAGAGTTTAATTTTAACTGAGGAAATAGTTATACATACCCAGGGATAACATTTTGGCCCAGAACCTATGTATGCTTTTTATTTATTTATTTGTATTTTGTTCTACTCCATTACTGAAATTATGCTGTTTAAGGACTTCCTGAAAAATAGGTTAATCCTTCAGTCAGGTTGGCAGGAATTTATATTTTTTTTCTCCTCTCATTCCCTTGCATCAGACCAGTGGTTAAAAAGTCATAAGTAAAGGTGCAGGTCAGTTGCTTGTGTGTCCTGATTTGTGTCCAGAGGGCAATTGAGCACCACACAGCTTCTCGCTCAGTTCTTCACCCTCAGGGATGGGAAGGAGGAAATATAACAAAAAGCTTGAAAATTGAGACAAGAACGGGGAGGGGTCACTCACCCATTATGGTCACAGACAAAATACAGACTCTTAGAGGAAGAAGGACATCAATTTAATTTAAACACCACCACTTAATTTTCCAATCAGAGTAGGACAGTGAGAAAATACAACCACATCTTAAAAACACCTTCCCACCTGTCATGAATAAAAGTAATTTAGCAGCAAACCAAGATTTATTAATGACTAGCAACACTTAATCATTAAACAGTTAAAAGATTTACAAAATAATTTGGTAAAATATGTTATGATTGAAATAGCAACTTAAGTACAGATTCAAAGATGACAAGATTCATACTAACTTACTATATTGTACCTTAAATCTATACCTTTATACATGCACATTCACAAATATAAAATGTACAAACACACAGACACAAGTATTTGGGTCCAGTAAAATACGTATGTTGCCACACTCGTGAAAATAACTGTGTGTACCTAAACACGTCGGTAAGCAGAGAGCAAGTTGGTGAAAGAGAAGCTAACTCAAAGTAAAAATTTCCCTCTTCTCGAGTTTAGAGTTAATACACACAATGCATCAATATTCCTCAATTGAGACTCCAACGAGTTGACTTCTCCCTGGCCTTCAGCTGGAGGAGTTAATGCCTGAGAGGCGTCCTAGCTCAGGGGAGATGCTGGTTACAGACCAGCTGGGGTCCAGGAATGCTCAAAGGGTCTCCCTTGAGGCTGCTGTTTATAGGGTTCGAGATAATTTACTTTTATCATATACTTATCACTCTGGCCTAGCCCAGACGATGAGGGGTTCTGGCCAGTTGCCAAGGACTTGATGGGTGTGCAATTCTGTTATTGTTCTGCCTGCTGGCGGGTTGTTATAACCGAGCCAGGCTGTCAAAGGAGCATCTTAATGCTCTAAGTACTGCCATCAGCAGTAATTATCTCCTCCTGGTATGTGGCCCAGGAGTGGAGGGGGGGGCAATCGCACCCCTATCCCCCCCACTCCTCCCCTCTTCCCGGCTCAGCTTTGCTCCCAGTTCTTTATCTCCTACCCCAGAGGGATGCAGCGGAGCAGGGGATGGGGGTTGCGGTCAGTTCATCACCTCTTGTTTCTGCTGCTCCTTCCTCCTCAGGGGTGGACTCCTCAAACTCTTTCCCCTGCTCCAGTGTGGTGTCCCTCCCATGGAAAACAATCCTCCATGAACTTCTCCAACATGAGTCCTTTCCATGAGCTGCATCTTTTCCAAAACTGCTCCTGCATGAGTCCCTCCAGCGGGTTGCAGTCCTCCCAGCAATGAACTGCTCCAGCACAGGCTTCTCTCAGATTCCCAGCCTTTTTTGTGTGCAGCCACCTGCTCTGGTGTGGGATCCTTCACAGGCTGCATGTGGGCATCTGCTCCACTGGTGACCTCCGTGGGCTGCTGGGGCACAGCCTGCCCTCTCACCAGGGGCTGCGGGGGGGGCAGTCTCTGCTCTGGCACACCTGCCCCCCTGCCTCCTTCTTCTTTCTTCCACTGACCTCGGTGTTTGCACAGGTGTCCTCCTCACAACTCTCACTCCTCCTCCCAGTTTCCTCTTCTTAAATACATTATCGTAGAGATGCAGCCACCGTTGCTAACTGTCTCAGCCTTGACCAGAGGCAGCCCTGACTTGGAGCCGGGGGAGCTTCAAGAAACCTCTCACAAGGGGGCCACTGCTGTAGCCTCCTCTCCAGCTACCAAAACTCCCTACCACACCCAAACCCAACACACTGTGTAAGATCTGTTTTGTCCACTTAATACTTTTGGTAGGTTTTTTTCACTTAGTGTAACATGTTGGGTTGGGTATTTTTTCCACATCAGAGAGTACTGTACTATTATACCACAGAACAGTTACCACAGGGAAGATTGACAGTGGATGGAAGTTTATTTTCTCTCTCAGATAAATGCAGTGTCACAGAGAAAGAGGTTGTTATGTGCATATCTGTGTGTAGAGTTTCCCTTTTTTTGAAGGAAAACAACTGGTTTTGTTTTCTTTAGTGTTTGGTTGCATTCTAGACTTTATTTATTGTTTTCATTTCTTAAACTTCCTGAAGTATTTACAGGAAGGAAAACTGAAGTGTGAAATTCTGTGACTAGAAGCAGATTTTTATTTCATTTTCCTGGGGAGACTCTTTCATTCAGAAGATATAAACAGAAGTCATAAAAATGTGTTATTTTTTAGGAAGCATATCCTTGGAAGGTTAGAAGAGGTTAAGATTCCTAATAGAGAGGAATGGGGGAGGATGTGTAATAAACTGGTGTTTGTTAGTGGAAAGACAGATAGCAAAAGCTGTGAACCACTGGTCTAACTTTTTTTTTTTTTTTTTAATGGTAGTTCATTTGTTTAGATTACTCAGTTGTCTTCAAGACTGTTGAACAATATGACTGGTTTTGATGTAACATTTGGGGAAAATGCAAATCAGATCAATTAAAACAACATTAGTGCCTGGAGAATATTAGACCTGCTTGACCAAATTAATAAAATAAGCAAAGATCATTTTCTAGTATGCAGGTTTTGCACCATTTGAAATTGTTGTGTAGATAGTGCACCTTCTTTTCCAAAAGGGCAGAAAATCCATTTCTTAAAATTAGTTAATCCAGTAGCAAGATTGTTTGGCTATTGGGTGCATCCACCCATGTTGGTCCCCTACCAAAAGCTGCTAGAAGTAGTTCCTACTTGCTGCACTGCTGCAGACCTGCAGTATCAGTTACAGCTGGCAGGTTTCAGAGCACCTTTGCCCCCACGGTTTGCCGGTAACCCAGTCCCTGCCACTGGCCTCCTCTAACAAGCTGGCTCTTCAGTGCACACAGCTAACTCACTGACGGGCTAGAACAAACACCCTGGCTGCTGCCAACCCAGCTACCAGAAATAGGTTTCGTTGCATCTGTCTTAGGCTGTGTCGCTTTATTTTACCCCAAGGAGTGAAATGAATGTACATTTTACACAGTTGAACTATAACATTTAATGAAGATTATCCTGAATGTAGAATTTACTGTCTCTGAAATGTGGTTCTGCTCTGGACATGATGTCCCCGGAGCCAGCAGTGCAACCTAGTTGTGCACAGGCACTTCTTTCTCTACTTTTGTATATTGCCATTTTTCAGAAGCTGGTCTGCACTTTAAACAAAGGAGTTACTGGGATGTACTTGAGACATTAATTCCAGGTTGTATGGTTTCCCTGAGAATTGCCATCTGTCATGCTTTTCTGTCTGGAGGTCACTCAAAGGTACCTCGGGTTGGTATCCTAAGACAGTAGGTTGAAAGGATAAACCGTGTGCTTCGTCTTTAACCCTTAGTTATCCTTTTCCCTTTCAGCACCCTCCTTGATAGGTATGGTAAGGAAGGACTGGGCTTCCCAAAACAGCATTGCCCTCTCCTGGCAAGAGCCGGACTTTCCCCATGGAGCAATTCTGGACTACGAGATCAAGTACTATGAGAAAGTAGGTCTCACTTACAGCATCACCCAAACTCAGATCCTAAAGAACAATATGTTTCATATTTTGAATATTTTAAAAACATACTTTAAACTTGTCACTTGATCCCACATACAATGCTACATAAAGTAGGTGTTTTATTTTGTACTGATTTTTTGTTGTTAATGACTGTCTTGTTTCATGTCAAAATCAAGTAGAGCAGCAAGCAGGCAGTAGATGTACTGTGTCATACTAATTACATTTACAAACATGGATAAATGGATCATATGCTTGAATATATTTTGATTTATGGCTTATAAAAACTTTTTAGAGTGACATCAAAACAATATGATTAAGGTGAATATCAGTGTGATTTCATTTTGCAGCATTATTTAGCAATAATCTGAGCTTAAATGAGAGAGTGCACCAGCCTTGTTTAGAGGGTTACAAAAGGTTACCAGAGAGAAACTGCATGCATTCATGTCAAATTTCTGGCATTCTGTCAAAATTACGTGATTTCACACAAAAGAGGGCATCTATATGCATTACAAGTAAAGGTACAAGGTGCACACACAGCATGTCTTGTGAAAGCATAATTTGAAGCCTGCTTCTCCCAAAGCACAAAACACATTTTGTCATTTTCAGTTGGCTACAGGGCTTTGTGTAAAATGAGTGTAAAATTTAGTGCTTATCAGTGCCTTCATTACTGAAGATGCAGACAGAAAATTTTTGGTGTCCATACCTTAAACAGTTGCCTGCCAAGTGAGCTCTTGCTGTTTCTGTCTCCCCATCTGGAAGTCACAATGGAATTAATGGGTATTTGAGAAAACCACAAAGAACAGAAATATAAGCCAAGTCATGAAAGAAATATTTAGGAATGTTAGGTTCTGTAAATATCTGAGAATTTTCTTCCTTGGCTGCACTTCTCTATTGAGATTATGCTGTTTTAATGATGCAGAAAAAAAGGGTAAACTGGGAAAAAAATACAATCAATTTGAATAGCACAGCTAGAGGGAGAAGACAGATTGTTTAGAATACTTGGTAGCCAGAGCAAGGAGACCTTACTTTCCTACACTAATGGAAGTCCTTCAGGTTTTGATCCATTAACATAGTAAGCCACATATGACTTGCACTGCCCTTGTTTTGTTGGTTGATATTGAAATAATAACTAGGTGAATTAAACAAGAGAAATAGTGAGATTTTCTTCAATTGATTAGAAATAGTTTCAGAGATCCCAAACCATTCATATGAATGTTAAAGTATAAAGCTGATATTTATAAAAATCCTTTATCAATAGATTATCTTCTAACATCTGTCAATACTAAGTGACATGGCAAATAGCATTCCTTAGAGGTCTATATATTACTTAGTCTTGTCTGTTGTGCAGCAACACTGCGTACACAGCCCTTTGTTATATACTGTTTAAACCACTGCTATCTGTTCTGCAGCTTTTCAGCCAAAAATGCAGGGAATAAGCTGATCTAAGACATAATTAGAGAGCTTGACTTGGCTGGTGAGGAGAACAAGAACTCCCAGACATGCAGTCCAAGGTGCTGTAAGCTTCTGTCACAGTAAAGAGAAAAGGTTTTCCATTGCTTGAATACTTTTGAGATGTAACCAGAGAGAAAATATCATGATCCTGAAATAAACTGCATGTTGAGGCCTGGTAGTTGAGCTATCTTCTTTCCAGTAGGTTATGAATCATTCTGAAAACTGTACAGTTAGCAACATTTGTCACCTTAGACGGTAAGTGAGTCTTCAGAGCAACACACAAAGGGTAATTTAAATGTTTGACCTTAGAAATCTAAGATGCACTCTGAAAAGCATTTCTACATTTGCAGTCTTCACAGATGTTAAACATTTGCAAATTATCTCTGTTGATACAGGATGTCTGTCCTATTCGGCAGTCTGTTACCCATTCTAGTTTATAATCTTATTTAATACCTTCCACAAACAGCCCAGTACTTTTAAAAGAAAAAAAAAAATCTCATAGGAAGTACTGTCTTTCCCTTTAAAAATCAAACTCCAGATATCATTATAATCTCAGTTTCCTTGCTAATAGTAACCAACTTTTCTTTTTTACTTTAAAATTATTACTCAGACACTGACCAAAGCTTGTACTTTTTGGAAGATTCCAGACCATCATAATCTACTTATCTCTTGCCAAAAAGGTTATGTGTTTGAGTCAGATGGAGGAGTGGGGCAAGATATGGCCTTATTACAGCCTTGTAATGACAGAGTCCTTCTGTAGGAATTCCCTCATGGGAAAGGAAACACACTACGCAGTGGATATAAACCCTACCAGCTGCACTTCAGGTTGTGCAGCTGAAATGGAAAATGCTTATTCCTCCTCTTTTCCACCCAAGCCTTTAAAATTAATCATCAAAAATTAATGCTTCCTAAGAACTGTATTAAGCATACCAAGCTATATATGTATCAGCAACTGTATTAAGTTTGCACTCCCATATGGCCCAAATACACCAGTTGGATTATATTTTCTGTTACACACAAGATGAAATATAATTAGCTGAGGAAGCCTGTCTACAGAGAAGAGATTTTAATGGGATGTACCCAAGCAATATCCCAAGGCATTGCAATGACATTTCCAAACAGAAGATATCTTTTGGAGTGGGATGTAGGGTGGAGGGACTGGTTGATGTTTCTTCGCTTTCTTGTCTTTGATGAAATTTACACTAAAGCCAAATCCCTTTGACAACAAACTTTTTTGTTGGCAGACTCAATTTGCAACTCACAGGCAGTTTTCACATCAAAATTTTAACCCACGTCCATATGACAAGTGAGTGGACAAGATATGTAGCATGTCAGATATGATTTTTCCTCCTTTCCAGTATTATTTAGAGTTGAATTAATAGCTGAAAGAGAGAAAATAAGCGAGTAGTAGAGGCAAGGAGGAAATTAATTTTGCAATGAGATTTTAAAAGGAGATGAAGAGCTGATGGGGCAGAAAGATAGAGAAAATACCAGATTTAAAGAACTGGAAAACAGTATGACCTTGTTAATTTTTCTATCAGTCTACAGCTGTATTTACTTAACTTATATGAGAAATTATGCTTCTTCTTAAAATCTAATATTAAAACAAACACCATTATTTCTTTGAATATTCATTAATATGAATTAAAATGAGCCATCCAGAATTTGATTAGTAAAATATGTAAGAGACCTTGAGGTAAATTACTTGATAGGAATAATGTGAAAATTTAAGACCATCAGTGTGTAAAGTTTTGAATGACAGAATTATTTTTACAAAAATTAATATGAAAAATTATAAACAAGAAAGTAATCTTCTCTTTCAGAATTGTTTACCTGCAGTAGTATTCTGCAGTTTAAAGCAAATCTGTCTAGAAATATGTGCACCATATTATTTCAAAGCCATAGAAGTGTAGATGTACAGTAGATGACATACTCTGCACTCTGACAACAAAAAGAGGTGGCACTTGGTGCATGTACAAATGTATGCACTTGCCATTTTTTTCCACAATTTTTGAGGAGCAGATAATCTTGAGTTATGCTCAGTACCACACTGAAGACTAACACAGCAATAGCACGGTCTTGGGAGCCCTAGGAATAGGCCAAGCTCACTTTCAAGCACGTGCCCAAGTTGTTTCATTCCAGCTTTTTTTTCCCATGTGATCTGCCAGTTTAAGGCATGTGACTTATTCCAGTTTAGGACAATAGTTCTTCTGTGTCTTCTCCAGCTAAGGAGATATTTCATTATGTTCTTCTCAGATTGATTCAGTTCTGCTCAGGCAGAACCTGACTTTACTTGAATATTGGCTGGAATCTAACCTCAATTGAACAGAAGCCATACATTCTCATTAGACAAGATATGGATATTTCTTATGAGAAGCCACATCATGTAGATCAGACAATCCTCTGAATTTCTAGGTGACATTTTGGAAAGGTGAAGTAAAATTAGTCATTTCTCTTCTATAGCCCTGAGCCTTTCTGTGAGGTCTGTATGACATGTGTGAGGTTCATTGACCTTCAACCTTCCTACTACTTAAATAGCTAAACCATGCCTGTCTTTCCACCTCTTTAATTACAATCTTGCATAATGTTTAACTGAGTTAGAAGAATCACATTTTTTCAGACACAACTATGTTACAACTTCCTTATTTCCCTTAAGTACCAGCTAATTCTTTCTTGGTTCAGTTTTTGCTTTTATGTTAGATTTTTAAATCATGAAGAATAATATATGCACCAGCTCCAATCCACATGAGGCTGTGAAGGAAGCCTGCAGACTGTATGACATTATTCATGAGCAGACATAGTTCGTGTGGTATTGTTGTGGCTGGACTGTTAGCATGTACTGGTTCTTTCTCTGGACATATTCTTTTATTGTTGCTATACCTATCATAGCTTGCTTGATAAACATGCAGACTTCCTGACTAAATTTTAGAGTCAACATCAATTACAAGTTTGGGGAACAGGAAAAGGATTATAACAATATGGATGAGCATATGAGCACTTCAGGTGTCTTGTCAGTCAGCGAGTATACTCAGTATAAAATTGCGAGCACTATGCTGTTAGCGTTGAATGGTCAGCTGGACAATTTTTAGCCTCATGCTTAATCTTTCTCTTTTAAAACGAATGCTTAGCTCCCGTAATATTTTTCAGTTATTTGAGATGCAATCTGCTGCCTACAAGTAAAATGTTTCTGATGTGACTAGAAGCAAGAAATGTAAGGCTCATGCAATAATACATTTACATTACATTTTCATCATGTTCTCGTAAAAACAAGAACATTGAATAATTCGTGTATAAGAGCTTTTGGATACTTGTACTAACCAGACCTTGGTATTTGACCATAGCTGCAGGAAGAGACCATCATGTCGTCGTGAGGTACCAGGGCTCCAAGGAGCACCTCTGGCATTCTTAGGCATTCAGTGCTCCTGGGAAATGAACCATGTCTGGTGAATGTTTTTAAGAAATAATCACTACAAATGTGCTTTGGGAGATAATCATTAAAATGAAATCTCCTAGCTTATTTTAGCATAGTAAGTGAT